GCATTTGCACACTGTAAAAGGGTAAAAATTTTTCCACTCTTAAGAAACTTGCCGTAGAAGCTCCTTTGCCTACTTCAGGTCTTCAACTGATGTCAAACATTTTTGCATGTGGCAAAGAAAGTGTTCTGAACCATAAACTTAAAGATTCCTATGGAGGTAACTGTTTGGATAGAAACTTCAAGAAGCAGAGGCTGCCAGTTTATTTTAGCCATTAAACCTTCCTAAGCTCCACAGGTCACTCTGAGCCTTTAAATAAGCCTACTCCTCTTCATCAGCTTGATAAGGAATCAGAGCTGAAGGTTTAGGAATGGCTTTGAAACACACAATATCAGGTGTCTAAGTTAACCAGACTAGGTGCCACCCTGCAGCATTAGGACTATGTGCAGTAAAATAAGATTTATAAACAATGTAGCCACAATGAAATCAGGGAGAATATTTATGAAACAAGGATTGTAGAATCAGATCCTTATGATTTTTCCTAGTTTTGCCAAGACCAAAATAATAGTCATCACAAACTTCACACACTCACTGAATTGTACTCGCTAGGATTGTAATTTCTTCTTCTCCAGCAGGGTTTTTTCCTATTACATTACTACCCTCCCTTGTTGTCATCATCATTTTATTATGGCATAGATGCTCTGTGGACTTAAGATGAACCCAAACCTGTTGGAGGTAACAGAGCATAACTGGTACCTGATTTTCAATTGCAGCTGGGACAACAGGAACTGATACCATGAGTACAGATGCAGACTTGCTGGTCATGATTATAAAAGCACTCATGGGCTAAGCATGGGAGAGAACAGATGTGTGATGTAGGCAGTGCCAGAGAACATATTTCTCCTTTGTTAACCTGGGATACTTCATTTAATGTATATATACAGGAGGAGAACATAAAGGAGAGTCTGCCATTTTGATCCATTCTTAATAATAAATTGCTCAGTGAAACAGGAGATTAAAGTGGGCATCTCCAAATAAGACAAGATTTTTAAAAAAAGTTATTCCCTAACTGATGAGGATTTTTTTGTCCCCATAATGGATAATTATGGAATAACCCTCTTTTATAAGTGTTTAAAGATAAGAAAATGCTCTCAACTAAGTAGCTCTCAACACTTACATCTTCTATAAAAGCCTGTGAATTGTCATAGAAAAAAACCCACATATCTGTATCTGATCTGCTGTTATTCAAATTTTTACACTGTTTGCAGAGGGACATCTCCTTATAGATGCAGTCATTCGTCTGGATCTCAATGGAGAATTTACGGGTGTGAAACTGCCAGCACTCAGCCATGCTGATGGTCAGGCTGTACTATTCAGAGGTATTAAGTATGAACTTGTGCACCTAAAGTTAGGAAAGTGCTATGGAAATTCAAGTTATATATTGAAAACACACTAAATGTTTACACTTGTTCATATTTATATGGGATTTGTTTGCATGGAAGGCTGGAGATTTGAAAAAATATATTTGTGGTTTTTCTTTTACTTCTTGAAAATACATTTAAGCAACCAGAATGTGAAACACTGGAATTTCTTAGTGCATAGTTCTAACAAAGGATGGGAGTGGGGAATGGATACAGTTTATTTGTAAATTAAATAAATACATTTCTTCCATACCCTTGAGAGCTAGCTGATTTATCAGTTAATAAAATAATCATACACCACAGACTTGTGCTTCCAATTTATTTTAAAAAGAAATAACATTGCATTTTTGACATATATGAATACAAATGTAACACTAGAGGAAACTTTGTGAGTAACCCTGTATATATATCAGCAGCCCTGCATGAATAACCTTACTCACTTTTTCTCTGCTATTTATGGGATGGATTCTGCATAAACACTTATTTCTTCAACAATTCCTAATTTATGTGTATGACCCTATAAACCTCCATGTGACTACTGACTAGGAAAAAAGCTATTCATCTGAATAGAGGATTTAGAATGTTTATTTAACACAAGTGAAAAGGAATTTAGTTTTAAATGTGCAATTAGCTATCACTAGTATTTACACCTAACACCATAAACCTAAAATGAAATTTATTTATTAAAAAACTATGTCTGAATGGACTATTTGCTTGCTTAAAAATTCTGATTCAGATACCGGAACTGCAGAATTTGGACAAATCCAGCCTGTGCTAGACAGAAGTGTTCACGTGCACCTCTCAGAAGAGGAAAGTCCATGCCTCTAATAGACTTTTTGAAAATTTTCTTTTAATTCCTCTTACATTTTGTGGCCAACAAAACAACAGAAAACCATGTAGGAAGAGTCTAAATAGAAGTAAGTGAATGGCAGAGCTGGGGTGTCATGTGTCAGTCCAGCCCAGCAGTGACTGCATGAACACACTGAACATGGATCAGAAATTCTTTGGTGAAGATGGGGCTCATTCCTGCAACCCTTACATGAATATCTGAAAAGCTTCTGTGGGACTGCTTGCATCAGTAAGGAGGAGTCCCTTGAGCAGACTGTGCCATTTCAGACCCTTGCTATTGTTTCTGATGTAAAGTTGAAACTTTTGGCATTCCCATCCCCTCTCCTCCTGTCTCTCTTTAATCTTCACATATTTTTTGGACATATGCCTCTCCCTCTCTGCTCTTTAAATTCCCCCTGCTCCCTTCTGTATAACAGCCTCAGTTCTACTTTGTTATTTTTGTTGCTTGCTTTGTCCTCCCTCCATCACTACTCCAGACACTTCTCTCCCCTTTGCTAGTCTGTTTGGCTCCTTGGGGACCCTTAACACTCCCCCACAACTGAGCAGATTCTCATTTTCAGTGATATTTTAAAATCTCTAGGCTATATTCTCTTCTCTTGAGAGAAAATTAAAAACAAAGAAAAAAAAACACAAAACAAAAAAAAAAAAGTCTTTCTTCAGAAACTCCTCTAGCTTAAACTCAGAAACTTCCAATCAACTTCTTTTTTCAAAGGGACCAAGGAGATTGAGACCTACAAAGATGCCAGGGCACACCACCCAGGAGTCACAGGCAACTGCCAGAGGCCCTTGGTCTCAACTGACCGATCCCTTCTGTGGGGCAGGAAAGCCTCCTCTCCTACGCCAGCAGTGCAGCCCTCTGACAGTACGTGCAAATGATGGTGTAAAATTTGCTGTCTGAGAGCCAAACAAGACTGAACTCTATGAGAATCTCACTACTGATTCTGCTGTATTGTGGTTTTAGCCCAGCCAACAGCTCAGCCTCATGCACCCACTCCCCCACACTTGGGTGGGAACTGGAAGGGTAAAAGTGAGAAAACTTGTGGGTTGAGATAAAGGCAGTTCAAGTGATAATATGAAATTCATGCATGCAAGCAAAACAAAACAAGGACTTCACTCACCACTTCACATGAGCAGGCAGATGTTCACCCATGTCCAGGAAAGCAGGGCTCCACCACATGTAGCTGCGACTGGGGAAGCCAAACACCATCATTCTGAAAATCACCCCACACTTCCTTCTTCTTCTTCCCCTTTTATATTCTTACTGAGCATTGTGTCATATGGTCTGGGATATCCCTTGGTCAGCTGGGGTCAGTCCTTTTGCACCCTCAACCTCCTCGTTGGTGGGGTGGGGTAAGAGGCAGAAAAGGTCTTGATGCTGTGTAAGATGCTCAGCTACAGCTAAAACTTCCCTGTGTTGTCATTTCTATTTTCAGCACCAATCCAAAACAGTCCCATAGCAGCTGCTGTGAAGAAAATTAACTCTCCCAGCCCAGAGAGGATAAGAAGGGATTTGAACACCAGGCCTTTGGGAGAGGCACACGAAGATGTGAGGTGAAGCTAATGCTTTCTCATGTATATCTGTGGAATAATTATCAGGAAATCATGACATGTAACATTGCTATTTTCAGATTACATTCTGACAGTACTTTCTCCTAAAAATATAAATTAGTCCATTCTGCTTCAGATTAAAACAAACCTGAGATGGGTGTCCCTTCTGAAAGTTGAAGACTTCTCTACCCATCATTCTTCATATTTCTTTGACTAGAATTTCTGTTGAAAGCCTCCAACTGAGACTAGTTAAACTGTCAGTTGCATGGTGTAAATCTGGAGTTAACCCCTCTGCAGTGCTCACAGAGGTTAGCCAAGGACAGATCCTTCTCTCATCAATTCATGTGCTGAAGAGCACCTGGGGACCACCAATACAGAGAGCACAGGCTCATGCCCAGTAAATACTGACGTCAGGGAGAAATGCCTGAGGCAGAAGGACAATAAAAAAACAAAAAGGAGAAAGAGAGAAAATAATTTGACTAGAGAGGGGAAAAAAGGAAGGAATCAGAAGCTGGGAGTGATGATGGGTTACTCATTTTTGTACACACCAAAGGAATGGGTTCAGAGGGAACAGGATGGAACGCTCACATTTCACCCCATAAAACATTTCAGATAAATTATTCTATTGTGTTTAAACCTGGAATGTAATTAAATTATTTACTTCTTTTTTGGTATAAATTTCATCTCAGTGCATGACATTTAGTAGTGTAAGGATATGTTGTCATATTTGAATTTTTTATTTTTTAACAAATGCCCATTTTATAATCATATTAAGATACTTTGACTAAGCAGTTGAACTATTACTCCACACCTCAGATGTGCTGGAGGCATGAGGTGAAATGCACCCGAGGTGCGCATTAATCAACCTTGCCATATAGTCTGTCCTGTCTCACTGCTTAATTAAATTCCAAACCAAATAGTTTTGGTGAGAAGGTTAGGAGGGACCACTTTTTCAAGTGGGTTTTGCATGAGCTGTCCACAGTGCATGGAAAAAATATAAGATATATTTAGAACAATATTTTAATTTGCAATACTTGATTAGATGGAAAGAATGTAATGTTTAAAAAAAAAGAAAATGTGATTAAGAAGCTTAAGTGCACAGTATATTGCATGAAAATTCTGATCATAAAGAAAGGTAATATCTACTCAAAATTATAATTTCTGTACTTTTGAAATCAACTCAGCAAGAATTATCTACCCATATCAAATTGTAGCACTTGTCAAAATCAACTGTAAAGCATCTCAAGTGCTCTTCTGAATCAACAAAACAGATGTATAGCGATGTGAGGTTGCACTGAAATGGAAATAAAAGTGAGCTAGATGCCAGTCATTGCCCTTAATCTCTTGAACCCGGCACTTAACACAGAGGATACCACAGGTCTTTGGGACACTGTTTAGAAGGGGAAGAAATCAAGACTTGAATCTTAATAGCATATGCAAAAACACTCTATAAAATTATTTTCTTTCTGCTATAGTGAAATATCATATGCTCAAAGAGCACCTTTCCTTGTTCATAAACATGAGACAATGTTTGAAACAGCATCCTGTTTCCACTTTAGATAGGCAAAAACCTGAAATATCTGAAACCTAAAAAGGTGTTTAACTTTTTAAAATAGCAATTAAATATTCTTAGAGGTTCAAAAATCTCACTCCCTTCAATAAAATGTGCAATGATGTTTATGGTATAGCACCTGCAGTGGAATGAATACAATGAATATAGCCTTCGTTAGGATTACAATTTTGTTAGATTTTACTAGGGATTTAACAGACCACAAATGTCTGCAAGCATTGGTCCTTAGAATAAAACAGCTCTAATCCCATCACCTAGGACGTATGCCTGGAGTGAGCTCCCCTGCAAATTTGTATAACTTGGTGTCCCTGGAATCATGATGAAAATGACAGTTTTTTTCTTTGGCTTTGTGATGATGGTGCTTTCCAGGACTGTGATGCACAAAGGGAGACTAAAGGGGGTACAGACAGCAAAATGAGTTAAAAGTTATACATAAAGCGGTCTGTTTTAACCAGCATCATTATGGAGCTGGCATGCACAGATGATTGTCAAGCCCTTCTTGCTCCATGCTGAGAGAAGGTCCAGTTGAACAGAAACTTCTCTCTGGGATGGACCAGGGACCGCAAGCCCCATGAGGGATGCCTGGAGGATTAGGCTCCTGAGCTCACAGTGACATTCTTCTGTGGCTCAGTCCAGACAAAAAAAAAGCACATCCTCACAAAGAGCCCTTGGTCTGGATTGCTGCCATACTCAGAGGTGAATATGCTCAGTTTTCAAGATGAAGATAGCAACCAGCTACAAACATTTTAGACTAATTTTAACATATCTTGACAAATTAATTCAGCTCTGTGTGGATTTCATCCATCATTTTCCTCCTTGTCTAGAGCATGCAGAAATAGCAGACTATAAATTCTAGCTCTTGAGACACAAATAAGTGTGTTTGAGGCTTTGATTTCAGCACGTGAAAATTTGGAAAGTTTGTGAGCAACACTTGCCCTTCAGGTTATGTCCTGCAGACAGGATTGGTTCATGCAAGAGAGGAGACTGAGTGGGACCTACTTTTTATTCAGTTACAACCAGTTTCACAGATTTTTTTTTAAATGCAGGATTGTTAACCAAAAAGGCAGGTCCTAAAGAAGAACAAAAGAAGCATGAGCATGAGGTCTCAATTTCTAGTTTTCAATTCTGTCAATTCACTTTCCAAGTGTTTTTTTTAAACATTGTTAAGATTAAATACACTGAGAATTACTCTAAATTTTCCAAATGTTCCAAAACTGATTTTGCTAGGTTCCAGAGGTCAACAGGCTATTATAAAAACAACAACAGAGAAAAGACGAAATTTAAAGCTTTTGAGAATACAAATATATGTATAAAACTCTAGTGGATACCTGCTCAATTCAGAATAAACCACCACCTGAGCAACCAGGAATGGTAGGAGCTGGAAAGTTAATCTGAAGCACAAGCAGAACAAAATATTTCTATTCACACTTAGGTTCAAAGTGGACCCAGTAATGGCACTATACAGGCACAGGTTATCTGAAAGGTTGCTGCATCCCTCCCCTTCTGCTCAGTTTTCCATCCTTTCACCAACAATAGTAGCTAAAAGAGAAAGCCTAACTTACTCCCATTTTTCTCTTTAAAGGGGTTTTGTTTTGTAGTTTTTCGTTTTGATGAGGGTTTTTTAGAAGGGGCTATTGGTGCTTTTGTTTGCTCGGTTGGCTGGTTGCTTGCTTGCTTGTTTGTTTTAAAAGGACATTGTTGTTTTGTTTGACACAAAAGTCAGAAATTGGAGCTCTTTTTTGCTGTTTTCTAACATTCCCAGAAGCACTGAGAACATAACAGCAGAGGGCTTCCTGTCAGCCTTTAAAGCCCCAGTAGAGATATTTCAAGAGGGCTACAGGGCTTTTACAAGGCAGAGATCTGAGCTGTGTCCCAGGGGCAGCTTCAAGCACCCCAGCATGAGCAGCTCACTCGGTGCTGAGGAGGTTTCCCAGAGCAGGTGGCCCAGCTGGCGCAGTCCACTTTGCAGCAGGACTCCGAGCACAGCCTGGTGCACAGAATATTTGTGCAATACTTGCACCCTTGTCTGCACAAAGGACTTCTTCTTTCTCTCTCAAGCCCAGGGGAAGTCTGGATAAATGTAGCTGTTCCAGAGCTCATGCTTCTGTGCCAGGCCATGTACACCAAGAGATGGAAATGTGCCTCCAGCACTCCCTGCTCTCCTCTGGAGGTGGCAGCTGGTCCCAGCTACCCACCAGCTTATGCTCAGGTTGTGCAGGATCTCTTTAGTGTTACAGGAAATTACTTTAAAGATACTTCCAGAGTGAATATTAATTCACTAACTCTATAAGTTTTTGAGGCACCATTTTTTTAATTTGGGCTGACACTCAGAATTTCTACCCTGCCCTGCATATGATGACACTTTGGCAAATGTATTATTTCTTTTACCTGGACATGCTTCCTTTCCAAGCCAAACATATAACAGAAATAATTTCAACTTCCAACTTTTGCCTTACAAAACTGCAGTGGTTGTGAAAGGAAAAGTGACATTACAGCTCCTGTCTATTTTTAATTTCTTGGCATATTTTTATTTTTGCTTTTTTTTTTTTTTGTTTTTTTTTGTTTTGTTTGGTCTGCATGATCTCTGAAATGTTGAGCAAAATTGCACTATCTGTTGCATCACAGTACATATATTGTTGTTCCCAAAGGTTTACTTATAATGTTCACAGCATCATTTATTTTTTTTTCCTTTCCCCCCGTTGTCATTTCTGTACAGATTTAATACAACAGAAACATGGCTTCCACTGGGAGCTACAGGTAGAGCAGTTACAAAGTTCTCTATAATTGGTGTCTGCCATGGCTGCTCACAGTAAGTTATGTAAATCAGAGCAAGGACCCACAACCCCTAAAGGCATGAATATTTTTTTTTTTCATTCAGTGCAGAGGATAACTTCAGAATCTTAGTAATAGTCCCCTCCACATCAGGGATCTCCTTACCAGGAAAAGTCAAGGTCTAGAAACCGGCCATGTCAACTTTGCAATTTAAATCCTACTGTTAAAGACGGTTTGGCAGGTATTGCAGCAAGTCAACGTATTGTAGGCAATATTAATTTTTAGGATGCATTTTCTCTTCAGAGTCCTGCAAATCCATCTGCTTTTGCTTATATTCACTGTAGTAATTCCATTTAAATAAATATTGAATATTTATTTACGTTTTCTTTAACAACTCTTTAATTTAAAATGAAATGAGATGTTGTCAAGGTTTCATTCTAAAAATGGAGTAATAATTCCACTGATATTCTAGGGAGGTATTTTAGTTAAAATCA